AGGGGGAGGGAGGGGGGGGGGACCTGAGGCCTGGGCTGAGGGCCAGATCACACATGTCCGGCTGCAGCGCTGATCCCGGCCCAGGCAGCTCGAGAGGCACTCTGAGAAGAGGTGCGTGCATGCTCCAAATCCCAGGAAGATGCGGGAATGGAGGGGAAGCTCCAAATCCCAGGAAGATGCGGGAATGGAGGGGAAGGGCCTGCGGTATGACCCATGACCGTGCCCCACAGGGGCGCTTTCTCCTGCTCCCTCTCCCCCACACGTGCCCTCTGATAACTGAGAAGAGAAAGCAGAGTGAAGGGTGCTGGGGGAGTGGGAAGGAGCAGGTCGGAGGTGTTTAACGGGGACTGGGTTCCAGTTTGTGAGGTGACGTCCTACACAACGCAACTGTACTTCCTGAAACATGAACCCAAATGAGTAAGACAGTGAGATTTGGTCTGTTTCTGCCAGAGGGCCTTGTGCCTGCCAGGGAGATGGGGAGCGGGGAGCATAAGAAAGAACCCCTGGAGGGGATGGCCACACCACACTCCTGTCTTGTCCATCTCTCCTTCCAGGATTTTGGGCGCACACGTATGTGCACCTGCCATGTTGTTCAAGCTGTCATGTCCAGGATTCAAACAGAGCAGCCAGCCATGTGGGCACGTCACTGCCTGGCCCGGGAGGGGGAGGCCCTGGCTCTCCAGGCCCCTGCCCTCAGGACGGAGCTCCCACCCCTGCCGTGGCTTTCATTTTTTCAAAGGGGGACACAGCACGGCCTAACCCCAGGCACCGCCGTCCACTCACCAGGGCCAGCCTGCCGTCGATGCTCCTCTTGTGCTCGTAGGTCAGGTCACAGGCTACGCACAGGGCACTGCCCAGGCCCTTGGTCAGGGGCAGGTTGGGGTCTGCTCCTCGAGACAAGAGCTCCTTTACGATCTGGACACAGACGAGGGGGGTGAGCCAGCGCCCCGTCCCCGTGCAGAGGGGTAAGCCCGCACCCCGTCCCCGCAGTGCTCGGAGTGGCCCTGCTCCCGTCCTGCTTCCCAGTGAGAGCAGGGCTGAGCCACACAGGGGGCGAGGCCGTCTGCATGGCCCTCCTCCCACTCCTGCCGGGACACCTGCCTCTGCCCCGAGACCTGGGCCAGGTGCACAGTGAGATGCGGCCACTTGTTTCTGGCTCGTCCTGGACACCAGTTCAGGTGCCACCTCACGGGAGGCCAGGGGCAAGAGCAGCTGTGGCAGACACGGGCCACCCAGCTCGGCTCTCCAGGGCCCCTGCCCTCAGGACGGAACTCCCACTCCTGCCGTGGTCCTGGCTCCCGTCGAAGTAGCACTCCTTCACCCAAGCTGTTCCTCAGGGCCTCTTACAACCCTGAGAACCACCCAGAGTCGTTCTGCGTGCCGCGATGGGCCCACGATGGGCCGGCTGACCTGCTGGGACACAGGGTCCTTGAGAACGGACACTGTCTTATTCAACACCTGGGGCCCACGGCAGTGCCTGCCTGGCACACAGCTCATGCTCGGTGAGTAACTGCTCAGCGGTGAGGGGAGGGTTATAGACAGACGTGGAAATGGGGCAGAGGAGAATGGCGATGTGAGGGGTGAGTGGTGGGCGGATGCTGGCTGGGGCTACGGCTGTGCGCCTCACTGGCAGGTCGGTGGCTGGGTGGCTGGGTGGTAAGATGGGGGAAGCAAGGACAGACAGACATGTGATGGGGCAGGTAGGTGGTGGAAGGAGGGATGACGGACAGATGGAGGGAAGGTGGGGCACAGAGGGATGACTGTACGTGTGGGAGGTGGTGAGTGGGCGCATGAAGAGTGGATGGTTGGGGAACCAGCAGTTAGCGTAATGGCTATGTCGCTGGACTCCCACGTAGTCGACCGCGGTTTGTGTCCCGGACCCGGTGGCTTAAAACTCACGCTGGGCGCGTGTGCGTGCGTGCCCAAGATCCCAAGAGGAGAATGGAGGAGAAGGGATTGCGGCGTGACCATCCCCCCTGGGGGGTGATTTCTCGCTTTCTGTCTCTATGTCTCTCTGTCTGGCAAGTGCACACATCCTATAACAAAAAAACTCTTAAAAAAAAAAAGAATGGATGGTTGGAAGGAAGGCTAAATGGACACGTGGCTGGGCAGGGGAGAACAACAGGTGGGCGGGTGCAGAAGGACAGGCAGGCAGGAAGGACAGGTGGGCGGGCGGGGCAGACAGCACGACAGGTGGGCGGGGAATGACAGGTGGGCGGGCATAGAAGGACGGGTGGGTGGGGAATGATGGGCAGGTTAATCAGTGGGTGGATGAAGAAAGATGGGTAGAAGGAAGACTGGACGAGTGGACGGGTGGGTGAGGGGAAAGGTGGGAGCAAGGACAGACAGACGTGTGAGGGGGTGGGTAGGTGGTGGAGGGAGGAATGATAGGCAGATGGGAAAGTGAACCCACGCTTAAACGGCCACCACCACCAAATCCCAGGGGCTGCCTGGAGGTGGCAATGGCGCAACACGGGTGCAGGGAGAGTGCACTCACCAGGTCGTTCCCGCTGGCGATGGACAGGGAGAGTGGGGAGTGGCCACTCCACAGCGTGTTGGGGTTCGCTCTGTGGGACAGGAGGAGCCGCACTATGTCCCTGGCACACTGTGGGGGAGGGGGAAGCAGAAGCACGGCAGGTCACGGTGCCCAGGCCCGGGAGCACCTGCAGTGGCACATGGACATGCCCTGGACCATGACGGGGCTGGGCTCGATGGACATCCTCTCCAGAGAGAAGGCGGGAAGACGAAGCAGGAAGTGGCCTAGAGCTTGTTTTCTAAGGACGGGGACCACTCAGGATCATGTGACACCCGCCCCAATGCACAACAGGCAGGGCCGAGCACCGTGATGGGAAGACCTTCCCTGTGCTGGTGGGCACCCTCTGCTCGGGGGAGACTGTCCGGCCCTCTCCGACCCCGCCTTCCGCCCAGGGAGCCCTCTCCTGTCTGCACAGGAGGTAGTGACACTCTCCTGCTCCCCTTCAGGGAGCACGGCTTACAGCCCTCCACTTCGGCCGGCTCCTGCCCTTCACAGGGGCCCAGGGAAGCTGGCCTCTGTGCCCCCCTTTCCCCACTACGAGGCGGCCTCTCCCTCCAGATGTGGCAGCCCCAAGACTGGCTGACCTGAGCTCCATGCCCACGTCCTCTCCCCGAAGCCCCACGGGCAAGGCCGGGGGGTGCCAGCAGAAATCTACCGAGGGCCCCTGCTGGGATGCAGCCTTCACACCCTCAGCACTGAGCTCTCACCTGGAGATCTGTCCTCGACAGTGCCCCATCTAGTGTCTCCTAACTGTTTACCCATAGCTCTTGCAAGTTTGAAATCACTCCTGCAGTCACACACACATATGCACTTCGTGAACACGTGTGCATATCCACAGCAAGCACAGCAACGTCACACATGCATACACATGCACACATGCACACACTGCCCTGCAAACAGCTCCTGCCTGGCAGAGATCTCTGGAAAGCAGGAATCTCCTGAGACAGGGCCATGGGGCTCCCGCCCTTCCCTCCTGCCCTCCCCCAACCGGTGCAGGTTCCCTGGCTCCTGCTGCGTCACACCCCAAGAACACGCACCCTGTGTGTGGGAGGAGCAGCCACAGCAGAGGTGCCTCAGCCCCCAGCCGGGCCCAGGCTACTGCTCACCTTGCTGTCGTCCTCCCGCTCGCAGGCCACGTGCAGGGCCGTCCGGCCCCCCTCCTGTGGGAGGGATGTGCGGGCGCTGTAGTAGGTGCTTGGTGGGCCCGGTTCGTTGTTGAGCTTCAAGCTTGAGGAGGGCAGATCCAGCTGTGTGCGAGCAGAGGGTGCCAGCTCCAGTCCCCGAGCCTCCTCACACCTGGGAGCCCCATTCCCGCACCTGGGCCTAAGAGCCTCTCGGACTGCGTCTGGAGCAACGGCCCTCGCAGCCTCTGACGTGCTGAAGCTGGGGCTCCTGTACCTGTCCCCACGTCACCCTGACACCCGCAAAGGTCAGAACCAGCCTGAGCCTCCTCACTGTCCCCATGTACCACGCATGTACACACGCCTGACAGTCACTGTCGTGCACAGGGCTGGACCAGCTCCGCAGGGCCGCAGGAGGGGAGAGCGGAGCCCTGCCCTGAAGCACTCGCACCTCAGGAGTAAGGTGGGGCATGGCCTGACAGCCACGGAGAGCCTCGGGACTGCAGGGCCAGGAAGGTTCTGGGCAGGGAGCTTCAGGGCTGTCCTATGCACGGGGACACGGCCCGCCCAGCTGATTCCCACCCGCTCCCCATGGGCCACGTGGTAGGTGGCAGCCCCCTTGGCCATGCCCAGGGAGCTCTGGGGCACGGGCCCACAAGCTCTGTCAGCCATGCTGTCCCGAGAACGCAGCACCGGCTGTCAGAAGGGCTCGGCCTGGGACACAGCCTCTCTCCAAGGACTGTACGCTGCCCATGAGGGTGGACAGGCACCCTGACACAGCCCACCCTGCCCTCAGCACTTCTGGAGCTCAGCTGCTTGGGGAACCCAGGGAACCCACCCAGGCCCCGCCTTCTCAAGGCAGCAGGTGAGAGGCGGCAGGCCAGGTGCAGAATCGCGTCGAGGGGGCTGGCCTCTGGCAGAGGGCAGCTAGGTGGACCACAGGGAGAGCCAGGGCCCCTCAGGGCAAGAAGTCTTCCACTTCAGGAGGCCAGCCCTAGCGACTTGTCACAATGGTCTCCACCCAGGGGTTTGCGGAGCTGCCTGGATGAGTGGGCTCTCACCCCTCACTAAGCCCATTAGTCTGGGCCCTGCTCAGGGCTGGCTGTCTCCCAGACCCAGAGACCCCCGAGAGGTGTGTGCACGGTGACCCCACCCGGAGAGAGCTGCCCCCAGGCGAGCACCTTGCCGGCCCTGTACTCGGAGTCCTGGTCTGCGGCCTGGGCGTCCACGTCAGTGATGGCATGGAGTAGCAGCTCTGTGATCTGGACGCCCTCCTCCCCAGGCAGGGCAGCCGCGATGTGGAGGGGGGTCAGGGCCCCCAGCTGCAGAAGACGCAGGTGCACCTGTCTGAGCCCCGGATGGCACCCTCAGCCTCACCGGCCCACAACGCCCAGGACAGGGAGGCCGAAGGCCGAGGGAAGCAAGGACATACAGACAGGCTGGACGCTCTCCACACCCCACGGTCTCCATGCCGCCCCATCTGCAGAGCCGTGCACAGGAAGCTGGGCCTGAGCCAGCTTGTTCTTCATTTAGAAACAATTTTGCATATGTGCTCACAGGTGAGGCAGAGAGACAGGAAGCAAGAAATCACCCCGGGGGGGTGGCCACACCACATCCCTTCTTCATTTAGAAACAATTTTGCATATGTGCTCACAGATGAGGCAGAGAGACAGGAAGCAAGAAATCCCCCCGGGGGGTGGCCACACCACATCCCTTCTCATCCATTCTCCTCCTGGGATCTTGGGCACGCATGCACACGCACCCAGTGTGATTTTTAAGCCACCAGGTCCAGGATTCAAACCGCAGTCGACCACGTGGGAGTCCAGCGACATAGCTATCATACCATCTGCTGGTCTGAAGCCAGCTTGATCCTAAACCTGAGGGAAACCCCATCCTGTCCCAGGCCCCAGTCAGACACCACCCCACGACGGCACACAGCCCCTGACCTGGGCATCTTCCAGCCACAGCCTCCCTCTGGCCATCAGTCACGGAAGCCTGGCCCTCCACAGCGGCTCAGGGCCTTACCGTCACCGCAGTGCACATCAGCAGAAAGGCACCAGAGGGCGTGACACCCACACCCGAGTCTTCAGCTTTTGAAACCTGACCATGGAGACAGCAACGGTAACGGAGCTAAGTAACAGAATGGGCTCAGGTGAAGGGGGAATCTGGGGGAGATTCGTTTTTCCTAAGTTTCCTAAAAGCAAAAACACAAAGAGGAAGAAAATACACTCCCCAATTAGGAGAGGTGTCAGAGAGATTCAGGGTTCTACTTTCTACCAAGCAGGAGTTCCAGGACAGGAGAGAGAGGGTGGACAGAGAAATGGTTGCGAGGGGGCACAAGAGAGCAACACAGACCAGGCTCAGACCTAGCGCTGAGACCGACCGAGAGAGAGAAGACAGTCTGATCACCAAAGGCCCCTCAGACAGCAGGTTTCCGCTGGCAGAAAACAAATCAGACTGCCATCTCTCACCATTTATAAAGAGCACTCAAAATGGGTCCATTACGTGCCAAGGCCAAAACTGTACAAGTACTCGGGGGAAATGAAGGGGAAACACTTCAAGACAATGGCACTGGCAAAGATTTTTTAAGCATGGCCAAGACCTCCAAAAATAGACTAGTAGGGTTATCTCAAGCTAAAAGCCCTGCACAGCGAAAGGGACCGGCAGCGTGGACGGATGACCCGCGGAATCTGTGCTTCAGATGAGGGACGGACAGCCAGAACATCTGAGAGCCTTAACAGCTCGCCTGTGGGGACAGGCAAAGAGAAAAACGAATAATCCGATTGAAATGGGTGATGGCTCTCTAGACAACTCTAAACAGAAGACATGCAACTGGCTAAAAAAGACGTGAAAAAGCATTCAGCATCTCTCGTAAAGGAAATGCAAATCCAAACCACGCTGAGGTACGACCGAATCGCAGTCAGAATGTCCCATCAGACGACAAAGGACGACAGGCACTGGAGCGCCTACAGAGAAAGGCGAGCTCGCAGGCCCTGCTGGCACCGTGGGGAGCAGCATGGGGGCATCAAACCTCAAACTAGGACCCCATACGGCCCAGCAAGTCCACCCTTACGTACTGAAGCAAAGACAGGAAATCCCTGAGACATTTGCACGCGCATGCCCACTGCAGCCTTATTCTCAATAGCTAAGACGTGGAGCAACCTACACGGCCGATGACTGGTGTGGGATTATGGAAAGGGGGCACAGGTGCACAGTGGACGACCCTAGCCACAAAGAACAAAGTATGTCACTTTACATGAGATGGATGAACCTAGACAACACAATGCTAAGTGGGCCAGCCACGCTACCAGACACGCACTGCACGTCCCCGCCCAGTGCAGTGCGTGTGTCTGCACACCGTGGAGGAGCGGACGGCACAGGAGTGGAGACGGAGGTGGAACACGCCACGAGCACGTGAACGACGTCACACAGCGTTCAACGCCGAGGACGAGGAACAGGGCTTGTCCTTTATCACTACACACTACCTACATGCTTTAGACCCACTCCGCGTCCCACTAAGACGTACAGGCACTACCTGCGACCCACTGAAAGACGGGACCGAGGGAGCACTGTGACTCCTGCCCAGCCCTGTGGGCGCCGGACGCAGTGAAGTGAAGTGATGCCTGCAGCTCTGAGGGCATGAGTCTTCAGAGTTTACTCCTTCCCTCGGACAGGCACAAACGCAGCACCTGGGCAGGCGTCCCCTCTGCCCTGCACTCTGCCTCCAGCTGGCCCAGGGCACGGCACTCGCACGTGCTCCATGTCCACCCAGGGAGGCCCGGGTCCGGCCACACCGCTCCCATCCACGGCCGGCCCCAGGCAGGCAGTGCCAAGTCCAGCCTCAGGAATCTTGCCACGTCAACACTGACAGGTCAAACAGGCCTGCCGGAACCTCATCACTGGGCCACGCAACTCACGCCATCTGTGGGTTGCCAGCGCTCCAGCCCTGAAAACCCCAAGTCTGTTTTGCAACCTGATCATGATCTCCGGCCTCTGGAAGCTTCTTGGCCCGGGCTCAGCACAGCTGGAAGGGGGTCAGAGGCTTCACTCCAGGACCACCCTCGGCCATGAAGGACGGTCAGTGAGTAAACCCCAACCGCAGGTGCAGAAGAACAGAATGGGACGTGTACCCTCCCGGCACAGCGAGCGGAGAACATCACAGTGTCCCATCTGCAGGTGTGTGCCCATTCTCAGCCTGTCCCCAGGGACTCAGACTGAAGGGGGCTGTGGTGGGGGGAGGGCAGGGGGACTGGGGCCAAGTCAGAAGTGCCCACCACAGGGGACAATGTACAAAAGGACAGTTGTTGGAACAAGCTAAGCCAGAAAGCCCAAGTGCACATGAAGCTCTCCTCTCTCCAGGAACCAGCAGCACCTGTCCCACAAACACCTGTGCTCAAGTGCGCAACTCGGAATGAACGGAGTGGTCCCATGACGCCACCCCAGGGAACAGCCAGGGCGCACACCAGACAGCCCCAACTGCAGTGAAGCCTTCATCGACCGAGCAGCCAGGGCGGGGCAGCGCGCCAAAAAGCCACTTCAGAGAGAAGCCAGGCCGGACACCGTCTCCCCTTGAAAGTAACTGAGTCTGCTGGCCTGGCCTGCGGGGAGTGAAGGGACGGCCAGGGCCCTCCTAAGCCTAGTTTCCTTCCACAGGGCTCCCTGGAGGGTGCTTTGCCTTACCGTGAGGCGTTAAGTGGCCCACCCCGTGCCCTGCGGAGGATGCAGCCCCATTCTCCGCCCCAGCCTTGAGGGGCCTGCGGTCTGCACTTGCTGGCCGCCCCTGCCCTGCCCTGCCCGCCTGGACTGCTGGTCCCACCTGCGGCGGGAAGCGGATGTCAGTCCTGGCCCTGCTCTCCAGCAGCAGCCTGACGCCGTCCACGTCCGCGGCCTTCACGGCAAAGAACAGGACCTGCATGGGCACGCGGCACAGGTTGGGGTCGGCACCCCGGCGCAGCAGCAGCTTGATGGTCAGCCACCGGTTCCTGCGTCTGGAAGGATGGGCGGCAGCACAGTCGGGCGTGGCCGTGGCCATGGCCAGGCTGGGGCAGGCCTGGGGAGGAGCTTGGCCACACCAACACACAGCACGTCCCAGACCCCGGAACACCCGGCACACTGCGGGCCAGGGCACGCCTGCCTGCAGCCTGCATTGTTAGGGATGGGGGCGTGAAGAAAGCCCAGCCTCCCACAGACTGCAGCCCGCAAGGTGGCACACAGTCAAGTCCCCACTGTGACCGTACGCTGGGCAGGAGCATCTCCACAGGCCTGCGCGCCGCCGCCCTCCCTCCAGGCTCCGCCCAGCATGCTTCAAGCTGACTGGGCTGGGGATTCGAACTGCCGTCACCGTGTGGGATCCGGCTTCTCTTGAGCAGCACGTCTGGGGGCAGCACCCTCTAGCTGGCCAGGGAGGCGTTCCTATGACCATCTCCATATGTGCTAACGTTCTTGCTTAATGACAGACACGGGGTGGGGTCTGGCGGTGGCACTGACAGCCACGGCGTGGACCCGGAAACACCAGTGAACCTGCGCTCGGCCACCTCCGAGCCCCTGCCTGCCTTTCATCGTGACTGGCTCTTCGTGCACACGTGTGACCTAGTGACACCGGAACTGGCCACTGAGATGCACGTCTCTTCAGGCTGACACGTCACCCCACAACACCCGTCACCTCACCAGGCTCTCAGCACCAGAGCTGAGGGTCTCTAAGTACCTGCAGACACCAGTGCCCCAAGTTCCCACTTTCACTTGAACACACCAACTTTACCCCCACCCCGGCCAGGTGTCTTCCTTGAATGAAGCCTGTGCTCGCGGCAGCGGC